ATTCAAAAGCCTTCTGCTTCAGACTCTGGAGTAGCCGAGATTAGAGGCTTGTGTTACTGCACCCCACTTGAGATTCTAGCTTTATAAGATGAAAGCCTAGAGCCAGATTCTCTCTTGGCTCCTTCCCCAATCTCATTTTCTGTAATGCTAGAAACTCTTAGCTGTGTCCCAAGTTAATACATGTCTCTTATCCTAATTGAATAACATCTCATGATGCTAAGACAACCTGCAACTGAGATAACTAGACTACAATCCTTAAGCTGTCAAGACTTATAGAATAAGGAAGCTACCACCACCACCACCATCATTGTCACTGTGTTGGTTACTTTTCTCTCATTGCTGGGACAAAATATCTGATGCCCAAAATTAAGGAAGGAAAGGTTTATTTAGCTTACAATTTGTGGAGGTTTCAGTCTGTACTTGGCTGGCTCCAAGGCAGAGTGGCACATGGCAGAGGGCAACTGTTCATGCGGTGGAAGATGGCAAAAAACAGAAAGAGCAAAACGGAGGAGCAGCAACTCCTTTCTCTCCCTTACATATGCAAACTATACGCCCCAGGGCGATGTAGCACTCACACCCATCATCCCAGCGTTGGATCATGGATCAATCATAAACTCTAAAAGCCCACCCCATGACTGCATGAGGCTTTGGGGGGACATCCAGACACAAACCATAACAGTCACCATCACCATCATCCTCACTACCATCACCACCAGCAGCCACCATCACCACCATCACTACCACCATTATCTTCATGGCCAATACAGTTCTATTATTGTAAACAGGAAAAGGATCTGGAAAAATTTCTTATCTTGAGGGGCTGGTATTAACTGCAGGAAACATCTGGAAATGAGATGAGGAATGAGCTCTTAGTACTGAAGTTCTGATCCTTAGGAACCAACATGGGTCTGATGAGAATAGTTTATATTGGACCAACACAATTCCTCCTTTGTCCAGGTTATTTGGCAGATCAAGCACATACCAGTGATAGAGAATCTACCAAGACCTTTGGTAAGATTTCTGTGATAATCTTTTTAACAACAGACAATATGCATTGAATGATAGTACAATATGTTGAATGCATTTTCTAAGACGAATATTTGATTATTAAATCAATATGTCTAGGGAGCCTATGGTGAAATACTTCAGAATCCTATGATTTTTTCTTATTGATGAGTTAAGTGAAAAAATCATACTCATTACATTCAGGAGTGGCAGGAAACCATAGAGACTGAAATTACCAAGACAAAATGAAGACTAAATGCAAAGCTGCCTATTTGCACCCTATGTATTATCTGTGCAAGCTGGGGGAGCAGCGGCGAGCAAGAGTTCAAAGACAGCTTTCAAAGAGAGTTGGGTTGTTTGGGTTGGTACTAGGCTCACCAGGTGTCACTAGTATAGATTCCTAATTAGTTAGAACTTAGAGGACTTTAAGAGAAACAGGAAAGAGGGACCAAAGGAGGTGATTATCTCACTCTTCTCAGTGCTGATCAGGCCCCCCATGAAAGTTGGCATTTTATTCTTTAAGAATATAGAAATTAGAGAAAACTGAGGCAAGAGTGACGGTGACAGTGGGTGCTGCACCAAGTGGCCTGTGAGGCAGGGTGAAGCAGGAGAAAGGGCTCCCTGAGGAGTAGAGACCCAACTTAGACCAGCGGTGGGCTGTGGGGCTTGGTCAAGCCAGTACCTGTCTTGCAAGGTGGTGACAGGACTTCCCAAAGAGAAGCACAGAGGAGGGTCGCTGTCTGGCTTACTCTCCAAGGTTTTGGTCCTCTGGTCACACCACATGATGGGTTGTTTCCTCTCTTCCTATCTAACTCACCCAGGAAGAGGGGCTCCTGAGCCACTGGGTACCATTTTGCATTCTTGAAATGCCATTTACTTTCACAGAATCTATAGCACTTGTTTCCCTTGAAATGCCTTCCAAGTATCCTTTCTTTGACTTCCTGGGAAACCAAGATGGTGGTAATTTACATCAACAGCATATACTTCAATTATTGAAGCAATAAAGAGAAACATCTAAGAGAATAAGTTATAAAATCCCAAAGGTATGAGCTTTGTTCTAGTCTTTTTTTTTTTAGTACCAGAAATCGAACTCAGGACCCTGTGCTTGCCAGGCAGGTGCTATGCCACTGAACTATCTCCCCAGCCCCAAGATGTGAGTTTTAAACTGAGCCTTTCCTACCAGCTTTCAAACACAACCAAACTGCTCAAACTTTCCGAAACTCAGTCTCCTTTTCCACAAGATAGGGTTAACATCTGCCTTGTAGTGATGACAATTAAATAAGACAATACATGCCCAATTATAGACCTGGAGTAGGTGCCCAATAAATTCTATAGCTAATATTACTATTACACTTCCTATTACCACTCCCCCCATTTCTTCTAGGCCAGCATTACGTTAGTACAGAAGACATGGTAGAAAATGAAACATAGACACATCCCATGCCTGCACCAAGCTGATCATCTAACCAGCATGGTTCAATTGAGCTTTTCACAATGAAGGAAGTGTTCTCTGTGTGCCCTCTCCAATATGGTAGTCCACATGCGGCATCTGAGCAGTAGAAATATGACTAGTGTGACAAAGGAGCTGGATTTTCAATTTAATTTTACTGAAAAGATGTAAATGACCTTGGAACGAGCCACATGTGAGAAGAGACAGCACAGCTTCAGATGTGTTTCAGGTACATTTGTGAAACTGATCACAACGAACAGAATAAAGATGCGTGGAAAGAGACACGCACAGCGAGCACCCAACAATTCTTATTTGTTTATTCATCACATTTAATTGTCAATTATGCATCCATCAAATGTCAGGTGTAGAGGATACAGGGAAGAATTAGTCACAGTTTCTGCCCTCAGGGAACTCACCATTCAGTGGGGGAGAAGCAAATAAATGATTTTACTACAGTGAGGTAAATGTATGCACATGTACTATGGATGCAGCTGAGAAGTCTAACCCCAATGAACAGGATGTTTTTTTTTTTTTTTTTTTTTTGTCAGGCAAACTCTTATTATAAGATGACATCAGCTCCTATCTTGGAATTTTGTAGCAGCTTTGGATCTGGACCACATGCTGTGATTATGGCCGAAATGTGAAGAAGCTGTCACTGATTGGTAGAGCTTGCAGAATCTGGATATGGAGAGTAATGCACATTCATAGGAGTGAAGATTAGTATAATTATTTGTGTGAAAAAGTGGGATGCTATGCACATTTATGTGCTATACACAATAGTTTGATTTGCTCAAAATATGGATGCTGGCCAAAAAATTCTGCAGCTGACAGTTGCTCAAATAAAAATGGATAGAGTCTTACATGATATGGCTTCCATACTCACCCTTGAAATATAAAGTAGGGTGATATATATGATTCCTTCTCCTACAAGGGATGATGATCATGTGGTGTAGCTTGGTCATGTGAGAACCTCTGGGCAATCTGAGTCCGTAAGGGTCACCTACTTTGACCCTTATGGTAGATTGCCTCTGGGGAATAGAAGTGCATTTGATAAAAAAATAGTTTATGGCAGACCAACAGGGACTTTCTGCAGGGAACATAAACCACAACATGTTAGGAGTTTAAATTGGTGTAGCCCTTTTGAGAAGTGGCTTCTCATATACACTGGGAATCCTCCGTCATGCCCTTTGGCCTACTGATCCTGCTCCCTGCTCCCTGCACTCTACACACAGAAAGAAATTGTAATTGTGTGCAGCAAAGACCTTGTTGAGAGTTATTTGTAGTTGCTAAAGAGAAGAAGCAACTTAAATGATGCACAGGGTAGTAACGTGCAGCCAGGATAAATGTTCATGGAAGACTTTTGCTGTAACATCCATTAAGGAAAAAAAAAAGCAAAGAAACAATAGCTCCAGATGCTAAGTGACCACACTCTGGGGCTCAGACAGCCTGGGTTTGAACTAGAGCTATGTGATCTGAGCAATAGTTCACCTGAACTATTTGCCACCCTAGAAAAACGGGGTTGATAATAATATACCTATCTCACAGGGACTTCAGAGGATTAAATGACATAATGAATATAAAACGTTTAACACCATGCAAAGTACATTTATTAGGTTACCTATATATGTTGGCCCTCTATGGACTGTATGACTCCAAGGCATAAAAATAGATAGAAAGAAATATGCCAGTATATTAACAGTGTGGGATCTGGGTGGTGGAATCATGGACGATGTGTTCATTTCTCTGCACACTTTGCAGTTTCCCAAATTTTCTCTAATGGACATGAATTAGTTGTACATTAAAAGAGTATATCGTAATGTTGTAACACAATAAGCTATTTTTAAAAAAGAATTTAACCACAATGAAATAGCACTTCCCTTTCCTCTTCTCCTTTCCCTTCCAGGGAAGGAGCCGGGGGCAGCCCTGGAAGAGCCTCACACGAGCCCAGCCTGGGCCTCTGAGTGTCAGGCTGGAGGGATCCCTGGCACCTGTTGATGGTGTCGTGTGGGCAGCTGGAGTGGAGGAAGTGGGAATACATGTGCTTAGTGGCTTCTCCCATCGCTGAGAGTCTACCTTCCAAGCTGCTCCGAGGTTTGTTTTTCTCCCTATCACAGGGTTGATTTGAACCAAGCACTACATAAAACCGTAAGTTAGAAAGATTCATCTATTGCCTTCCGGCCCAGGAGCCCTTCTAGAAAGATACCTGTAATCATGGACTTACACATTCAAGGCCAATCGGCAAAAAAAAGACTTAGATCAGAACACTGGACGTTAGCCAAGTAACAGTCGTTTGAACGAGTATAGTTTATATGCAGAGAGGAAATTCTGGCAAGTAGAGTCCTTTCGAACACGACACACAGCGAAAATACCTTCCTCCGTTAGGACACAGAAGAGAAGACCAGCAAGCATTCAAGGGGTGCGGGAGCCTGCCTGCGCCCTAGCGTTCCTGCCCAAACCTTGACATTTGCGCCCTCCGCTCTGATGTCCTTCACTGACAGTGAGGGTGCCTGCGCTTTAGCAAGTGGCTCTGCGAGCTGTAATTTAGAAACAGGGAATTCCAGGCACCAAAATAACGAGGTCGACGCCCCCATCCGGACCCGAGGGGCAGTTTCCGGTTCGGTGTCCTGACCACCGTCCCTCCTGGCGTCGCGAGGGGAACGCCGCACATCCAGACCCGAAGTGCGTGCTCCGAGCCCACGGAACCAAAGCGAGACGAGCAGCCCTCCCGGGCCCTGCGCCCCACTGCGGGGTCATCCACGCCCGCGAGGCCGGACCCGAGAACCGCGCGGTGCCCTGCGCGCCCCTGGGGCGCAGCCACGGAGCACCTTGGCGCGCGGGCGGAAACCGCCACCCCGGGACCCCGGGGGCTCCCCACGTGTGGGCAGTGTCTCCCCTGCCCAGTCCGAGCTCCGGCTGCAGCGATGGCGGCGACGGAGGCGGCGCGTCTGAGTCACCTGTGGGGCTTTTTACAACTCCACAGCCCCCTCCCCACACCCCGGTTCACTCGTCCGGAGGAAGAGGAAGGCAGTCTCCGTACACGCAGGGCGAGGTGGCCCGGCGGTGGAGTTTTCAAAAGCCCTACAGGTGATTTGGGATGCATACCCTTCAAGACACGCACACTCGCGCGCGCGCGTAAACACACACATGCACACACACACACACACACGCACACACACCCGCACACACGCATCCCGGCACACCTTGGGACTCCGGGCCTGAACAGGTCTTGACCTCCCCTGCTCTCTAGCTTCCCCTTACGTGCGCCACCCCACAAGCTTTGCCGAGGGCCCCGAAGTCTCGGAGCCCCGCGGGACAGTCAGACGTCAGGAGAAGTGTCCCCCGCGCTTCGCACCTCTTACGCTGCCTGCAGCGCGCACTGGACACCAAAGAGCCAAGGTAAGTCCAGGAGGGAGAGAGCAGACCGGGCGCTCCAGCAAACTGCTTGCAGCAAGGCCGCCTTTCTTTCGCGAGTCTTTGGGCTCCGGAGGCCTCCTAACCGCCGGCAAGCCTGAGCCCTTGCCGGTCCCCCGCCCCAAATCCGCACCCCTCCGGGGAGCATCCTCTCCCCCAGGGCTCCGTGGCAGGTGGCACTGCCAGGGTGAGCGCAGTGACCTCGCCTGCAGCCCCGGCTGCTACCTTGCCCTCCTTTTCCAAGTTGCTGCACTCCCTGCCACCCCCAAACTCGAGACCCCCTCTGTCCGGCCGGCGGCTGTCTTACCTCACCGTGCAACACTTGGTTGCGCGGTTGCCCGGGGCGCTCCTTCCTCACAGTTTATTCCCTTACTTGGGAGGAAAGAGGAACCGAGAGACAGAAAGGGGACCGAAGCTGGCGTAAGGGCGTCTTCCCGCCCGCGCGGGCCTCTCGGGGGAGGGGGATGGTAGCCCCGGGGCGCGCCGCGGAGATCAGGCGACCCGCCTGCGGTTAGGCAGCTCCCGGGCTTCAGCCTCTGTTGGGGGATCTGCAGTTTGCCGGCGGTCTGTCTCGGCTGCCCGCTACTACGGCACTGCGGCTCTGCACCCTGTCCCTCGCAGCCTGGCAAGTCCAGCTGCCACTCTCACTGCGGAGCCCTGCCCCCGGGCGCAGAGCCCGCCCCCGCCACACACGCGCGCGCGCGCGCAAACACACGCGCCACACACGCGAATGCGGATCCGCTCAGTGGGAACCTACGTTCCTTTGGTGCAACTTGGGCGCGGGCATCATTAGGGCTCTGGCTGGCACCACTGTGGTTTTGGAGGAAGAGTAGGGGCTTGGGGGCCCAGAAAGGATGCAACCGTGTTGGGCGCCAGAGGCCAGCTCACCTGGAGGTGGAGGACACCTCTTTGACAAATAAAATACCCACCGGGCATTTCCTTTTCTCAGCCTAGAAAACTGGGAGGTCTAGGTTAGCTTAAATATCCCAACCAAATCAGAGAAAAAATATAAACAAAAGCTCCACAAGTTCTCTCTGTTTCCCAGGAGCTCAGTGCCTGTAGTATCCAAATCATCAGCCCCGTCCAGAGAGACGTTTCTGACAACCCTGGCTCGGGTGGCAGTGGACTAGTGGCTGTTTGGCCTGAAAAGGTTTTCACCTCTGCGTGTCTGTGGGGTGGGGGCGCTGCCAGCCCTGCCAGAGCTAGGCTCTGAAGAACACCTCAGATCTCAGGGCTGTTCTCCTAAATTCCCCACTTCACCTTCAAGTGACGCTGGGCTGTTTTCCTGCGAAACAAATGGACCACTTCCTTAAAGGAAAAAATGCAGAAAGGCACAGGAAGGAATTTGGGAGAGGGGTGAGGAATGGGGCAATAGCACTGGCCAAGGCACTTGGACTTTCACTGCTTCTTTTTCCATGACGTGCATGTATGCATGGTGGTGGCGATGCTATTTCCGGCATGTCACACCAGCGGGATGACTTCTGTCCATTTCACACCACATTTAGAGTCACCAGGAGTTTGGACTCTCATCTGTAAAATATGTGCAGTTTACCAGTTTCCACAGCTGAGAATTCTTTTCTGCCAGCAGGCAAGGAAGGTCCCTGAGCCAGGACTGTAGCCAAGAAAAGCTTTCTGGGGGAGTGCAGAGGCGCCGAGGGGGCCCCGAGTGTCTGGGAGTGTCATATTCCCCGAGGACCCTGGTGGTCAGTGTGCACGCTGGGACACCTGCAGGCAAGGCTGATGGGTCTGGCACGGAAGAGGAGCTGAGGCTCGGAGATGTCCCCAAGATTCCACCTGGCGAGAAAGGCAAAGCTGACACCAGAATTCTGCATGCGTGCTTCCTCCAACCACCCACCATTCATACTTCGTCCTATCCACCTCCTTCTCTAAGCTTCTTTTAATTAGGCTGAAAGATGTGTGGTGAAGGTGCTCGTTTACAAGTTCTTCTTTCATCCTTTCTTGTTTCCCTTCCACTCACTGACTCATTCATCTCCCAACTACTTATTAAGCTCCTACTATATCTTCAGGTACTTCCTCCTAACTCCAGCCTTCAGCATTCTTTGGGAGGAAAGATGGATGGAGAGACACAAAGGGCTCGAGGTTGTTCCTACCTAGTTCCTGGCAGAGGAAGACCCTGGGCATAAGCTTACTGTGTTGAGCGGATGTGGAAGACACCATCCTGAGCTCCTGAACTGCATCCTCCATGGAGGAAAACACTCTCCCATGTATCAGAAGAAAGCTCTTTTGGTTCTGTGTATTCTAGAGAAGGCTAGACTGAAGGAGGGCACGTGTCTGAGCCCCGTGATGGATTTGGGCATCGACAACTGCAGGTAGGGAATGGGGCAGCATTGAGTTGCTCTGCTATTAGAATGGGAAGAGAGTAAGTTGGATGAGACGAATGGGAGAGACACATGAAGGCAGAGTATGGAGCTCCCACTTGGTTGTGAGCATTTGGGAAAGAAGAATGAAAGAGAAATTCTCAGGACAGAGCAGCCAAGCAAGGACTTGGAGAAGGGAAATGCTTGCACAGATTGGTAAATAGTTTGCTGGAGGGTGGACTGAAGAAGTAGTTGTTCTTCTATAATAGATATGTAGAGTCAGTATTGTTCACCAGTTTGTTTGTAAATGGATTCTTTTGGGGAATTCTGGGCAGTGAAGAATCAAGGTTGATGCCCAGTGATTGCACAGAAGCCTGGGATAAGAGACAGCTGATCCCGGGTTGCATGCTAAGAATGCGGAGGAAAAGGATGTGATGCTAAGAATATGGAGGAAAAGGATGGTGTGAGAGGTCAAGGCAGTGTGGGAGGCAAAGAGGGATGGGGTGGCAAGAAGTACAGTTCGTGTTGATTAGGACAGCATGGAGGAGGTAGGGGGCGGGATGGGATTAGAGAGGGCTGAAGGAACTTGACCCGGAAGTCAACAGGAAAGGGGCACCGAGCTGAGAGAAAGCAAAAGCAGGAAAACAAGGCAGCTCACTGTGAGCTGTGGAGCTTCCCACCAGAAGAAAGGAAAGCTGACAGAGTACAGGGCAGGACCTCTGAATGCCCTCCTGGGGGCGGGGTAGACATGGACAGGAGCTATCGGAGTGGTTTTTAGTTTTGTGTGATTTTTATGTTTTGTTGTTGCTTTTGACAAGAAGTTGCATTCCCAGTTGGGAAGCATCTGATGCCAGCTTCCCCCCTCACAATGGACAGCATAGGAGAACCATTAAAAGAAAGATTTTGTTAGCCTTGCAAGGAGCCCCAGCCTAAGCGGTGCAAAGCATCCACTGTAGGGAGCACCCGGCCGAGGGGCTGAAATCCACCCCATGCTCCATGTGTCTGCCCAGCCTAGCAGGGCTCTGTCTGTCCAGAAGGAGGGGTGCCTTTTCTCCAGTTTGCACCGGGCTTCTGCAGCCGAGCCTTTTCTTTGAAAAGACTGGAGCCACATTGCAACAGATGAGGCTTCACTGAGCATTTGCTGTCTGCGCATGTCCAAGGTGAAGCGGAGAGAATGTTGAAGTCAAAACTCTCTGTGAGCCTGTGCTTGCCTCTGCCCTGTGGGGACGCTCCACAATTCACTGTAAGGCACAGAGGAGGAAGCTTGATTCCTGCCCGCAAAGCATTCGCAATTGGAGTCAGCTGTAAAATAGTGAAGATGGTTAAGAAGCAATAAAAGAAGTATAGAATCAAGAGCCAAGTTGTATAGGGTAGATTCTCAGGGTATGTGAAGGGAGGCCAGCATGTGGGGTTGGGCTTAAAGAGGGCTGCATTTGGGAAGGGAGCATGTGTTGCTTCTAGGTTGGAGGAAATTGTTGCAAGGAAAGGGCTGGAGGCAGGGAATCTGGTGGTGGTGATGGTGGTGGGGTTCTGAGCATCAGGTTTTAGGCCTCTTGTCTTCCCTGATGCCCTTGTTTCTGAGAGACAGGGCGGTTTGGACCGAAGGCTGCACCTTACATTCCCCGCCACTTCCATGCTGGCAGCTTACGCGCATGGGCTGCTCTGGGAAACACATCATCCACCCGGCAGCTGGTGCCTCATCTCCACCTGCAAAGCAAAGCGAGGGGCGATTCAGTACCTGTGTCTGGACAGGTTCAAGTCTGACTGTCTCTGACAAACTGTGATGCTTGATCCTCTGAGCACAGCTATGAACCGTGCTAGCAAGCACAAGGGGCCTCGGTGGCTGGGGAATGGGAGATCTAAGTTCAGGCTGTAGAATTCTGCTTTCCTTTCTAGCCCTCACCTGTCTCATACACAAAAGACCACACCAGCTCCCTACCAGCTCCCTTCCCCCAAATATTTCATGATTCCACAGTTAATAGGACCCTTCTATTTCACCAAACAATGCTGGGATGGGTACTGGGACTAACTGGGTCCTAATTTTACCTTTCACCTGACTGTGCTTGAGAGGGATTGTGATATTGTAGGACGGGGACAGAACAGCCAGTTCTGGTTGTGGATCCAGTCTAGGTCAACCCTTCTGTAAGTTTCAGGCTTTAAAAAAAATACATAGATAAAATAAGGCTGTTGGAAATGATCTCTACAATCTTTTCTGGCTCCACTGCTGTTAATTACTGTCGACAGAATAACTGCTAAGGACTGTCTGACCACCTGGGTAGCACCCCTCTATAAGGCAAAGTGAGAAAATTCCCACAACACCACTGGTAAGCTTTGGAGGAAAGGAGCCAAGGTTTTAAGAATAATAATCATGCCATTTAGGTGGAGCTGAAAGACCTAGGTCAGTGTTGTCATGCCCCAGTTTGGCCTTCTGTACAGTGGGGATAGTCATATGTACTATGGTGCAGTGATTAAATGAAGAAGCTTATACGTTCATGCTTTGGCAATTTTAGAAGTGCTATGCAAAAATGTCAAGTATCACTATTAAAGAGAGTCGGCTCCCCGAAGACAGTTTGTTAAAACCAAACCAAACCAAAAAAAAAAGCTCAATTCTATTATTTGCTCCCTTGTCTGCTTCCTAAGAAGCAGTAATGTAATTCAGGTCAGCAACTCTGACTCCACACTCCTAAAGATAGCAGTATTTTAACATGAAAACTTAATAAAGGAGCTAGCAGACTTCTGGACTGACTAATAAGCAGACCTCCAAGCTGCCCCTGCCTGGAATTGGACCATGGCACTGACACTGCACGCAGCACTTTTCTCAGCTACTGTGACTTGGTTTACTGGACAGTGAAGGGTGGAAAGAAGGAAAGGGAGGTGTGCATAAGGCAGGTGGAAAAAAGGAAGAGAAAAGCCTTTTGCCTGCCTGTTGTATTTGGAGCACTGGACTGTCATCTTTATGCTTTAATGCGCTTGTAAAGTGGCTAATTTTGGTTTACTACATTACTCCAGGTCTGCTTTCTGCTCTGTGGCTGGGAGACGCTGCTGTGGAATTCTTCACTGTAGTCCCAGGAGGGAAACCCTTGCATGGGGAAGGCTGGGAAGAACCACAGGGAGGAAAAGGTTCTAATTCCATAAATGACCAGATGCTTCGAAGCCTGCCCAACCCACAGAACTTTTGAGACGATACGGCCATTTTTAGAAATACTGGTCACTTCTCTAACTCCTGCCAACCGATTTGGGGGGACAAAATGTCACAGCATGTAAGAAATTAAGGGAGCCCCTAAGTGCTGGCACTTCTCTGACCTATTTTTCCCCACTCGTTGCTGTG